GAATAAAACTCGCTATCAACGATAATAATTTATCGCTATAAAGCGTTCGATGTGTTGACTTATGGCTCTACAAACCGCAAAAATTTCTTTCTCTCCCTCTTTTCTACCCCGCCATCGTATAAACTGCTAAGAAAAAAAGAAAGAATGACAAAAAAAAAAAAAAAGAAATATAGATATTTATTAGAATAATGTCTTCTATTCTGTTTTCGCACATTCTTTCAACTGAGTTTATTTTACTTATTAGTGTATAAAAGTTATGTAAATAAAAAAAAAAAATTGAACAGGAAGGCAAGGAATTCTGCCCTAATTATTCATTATGGCCATAATTATTAATTATTCATTATATATATATATAAAGTGTGTAATCGACAAAGAGAAATCTCTCGAGACTTGTACTTTACTTTGATCTAATTGAAATCTCGGACTTGCAGACCTGTGAGATATGAAAAGTTGCACGGTGTCCATTCAGAAAGAAGAATGAACACCCACGTGCGTGCCTTTCTATTCTGGGTCGGACGATTCATGCTCATTCGTCTGATTCATCCGTGATATCGAAATTTAGGAAACGTAGTTCGTTATATTTCCGAAAAGGAATTTGTACGTTCTCTCTCTCGTCGTGCTATTTCTCAAGGTGAATTTAAAATGTTTAATTTTAATGACCGATTTGAATGAATTATGCAAAAGGCATTGTTAGCCATGAAAGAGAATTTGAAATGAAAGGACTCGACGTTAGATTATAATTAAATAAATAAGGGAATTGAGATTTTTATAGACTCACGACTGTAGTTTAAAAATATTTGGAAAAGAGTATTTTCCCACTTGTGAAATCACGCAATCGTTCTTTTAATTCTATACTTATATTTAAACACGTTTATGTCTCGGATATAAATGATTTAGAGAAAAATTTAAATCATAGAAATAACGTAATTTTCGATTCCTTCATTTTTTTCCTTACAATTTTTGCCATTTTAAAATCACAAACTAGAGGTATTATAAATTTAATAATAAAATGAATAATTGAATCTCTGAAAGCACTTTCTATAAACTAGAGCCAAGTCAAGCTAAAATGTATACACATGGGAATTTATATCCAACATTTATGATTGTATGAATTATATCAATAACATTCAACCAAACAAACCGTAGTGTCTTTTCGAAGGATATAGAAAGTGGATTCATTTACATAAAGTATCGATAACATCCCTTCGAAATTCGAATAATTAAATTAACATAATTACAGTTCGAGAGAAATGGCTTCGTCGTCCTGGAGGATTTCTTTCAACCGGAAGAAATCGACGAATTGAAATTCTGCGGTGAGGAATTTACCAAGAATTTACCTCCGGAAAGTGAGAGAAAAGTTTTCAATTCAATAGAATCGCAACAGGTATACACCGAATTAAGAAAATATTTATTGCGAGTATCATCGACACGTGATGTTTACATTTTTAATTTATTTATTGCATTTCACAGAGCAAAGATAAATATTTCCTGAACAGTGCTAACAGGATCAGTGTGTTCTTCGAGGCTGAAGCTCTAGACAACGATGGAAAG